CGGATGCAGTTTCCCTTTAACCCACGGTAAACCTACAAGACAAAGAAAACTGACTTAGACTTACCTTTATCTGTGAGGTTGACCGACGGGATAGCCGACTTGAGCAGGAGTGTGTCCCGATAGGCAGCTGGCTGCTTCCTGCGTTTTTTCGGTGGCTCGGAGGCTTCGTCAGCGGAGTCACTAAGACCACTATCCTCGCTATCGTCATCAGCGTCAGACCCCTTTTCGAACAACAACAGAGGATTTGAACCAGCGGATCCGGACACCCCAAAAGTCAGGAGGGTTAGTTTGAAATTGTCCAAGACTGTGTGAGTCTCTTGCGGGGCGTTTGCAGATGCACCATTAGTCAACGGTATTGGCAGTTTGAGACCGGGTACTCGATGACTGTCTGGCAGGTAGCTTGGAAAAGTGCCCTGATAGATGGGAGCCGGCAGGAAGAGATTCAGTCCCTGAAAGTCTACGAGGCATCACAGAGTAAAAGCGAGTGGAAATCTTGGTATCACGGACACGAAGCGCAGAGACACAGACATAAACTAAGACTGATGAGCAGGAAGTTGAAATTGAAACTTCAACAGCGAACAGTAGGTAATTCCGTTCAAACAGTCAAGAAATAAAAGAAGGCTTTTTGCGCCAAATAGACAAACAAACAAAGACAACCAGAAGGATATAGTGTCTGAACGAATATGGAAGGGTTAGTATAGATAAGCAAAAAGGAAGTTTGGTGACACAGCGGACAATAAACAGCACATGGGGACAAGCTGACTCCTACGTTGAAGGTTATTTGCCCAAGTCTGGATTTTAACTGATGCAGTAAACAATTCCGCAAGAATTTGGATTGAGTCAACTAGAAGAGGGATCCAGTTTAGCCCGATGATAAACGCAATCACTGCTGAGGCGTTGTAGCATATAAATCATATTTGAAATCCCTCAGTAGGCTTCCAGAGGAACATGACTTAGGTGAAACTAAAATAGCGGTTAGTGCAGGACGCATATGTAAGCTATTTCACCTGCAGCAATAACAGTCAGGAAGAAATCACAACTTAAGTAGTCAGGGTACTTTCAAATCGAAGTTTGACTTTTCTAATGACATCGGTCATGTATCCTGCAACGAAGGCACAAATTTTCAATTCCTCTGGGCCACATTTAGAACGTCCAGTATCCCTAATTTGCAGTGCTTGCAAGGAATAGTATCACTTTAAAAAAATATGTTGAAGTTCTTCTTATTGTTATTGCAGACATTTTTTTCTCAGCGCTGTGAACAAGGCTCATCACGCTCACAACCTAGTGAATACTGCATACTTTGGGAGCACCGAGGACTAACCTGCAAATCGTGAGCAACGCCAATGCTAACGGGTTGGGGTTAGGGCCAGGATTGTGGTACGGATTGGGTTCATGTTAAACGCGGGGTTTATTGTAGAGCTAGTATCACAATTCATTTTTATCTTGGGATTAAAACACGGGAGTATTAACTCTGCCTGAAATTTATCATCAGCCTACCCATGTAAGTGAGTGGGGCACCCCTATTCCCGTGTCGCCTATGCAAGTTATCCTTACCTAACGGATAAATGTGGGGTTCACCTTAATCTATGACTTCTTTGTTACCATTTCCTGCACCTTGCGACCATAGTCAACGCGGCCCCTAAACGTTCTTCCTCGTGTCTACCTACAGTAGACTGTCAACGATCGTGGCGGGTACTTCTGTATTCACTCCCCTCTCGGTAGACCCCACAATCAGCAAAGGAATATCCGGCCGCATCTTTCATAGTTCGGTAATCTTCGTCACCTCTACGACCCTCCCCCGTTTCGACCACGAGTGACAGGTTTTCGCTGTCTGCTCTTTTGTCCTTGGTTTCACTTCACTGGCTCGTGTCATTTGGCATCGCCAATAAGGTGAGATACTATGTTTTTGATATCACAACACGCATGTACATAAATAGAGAGTCCAAAGGTACACACCT